TCTCTCTGCCCAGCGGTCTCTGAGGTGGAGTTCTAGCTTCCTTTGGGTTGTAGCCGACTCTTCCTTGAGTCGTCCAGGCTTCCAGTGCCTCCATTTGGCCTCCACAATGGCCATTATGGGAGGCCGTGCATGAAAGGCTCGCCATCTAGCCCGGTCCATGCTTTCCTGTTGCTGTTGAAAGGGTGTGTGGAAGGCTGAATCTGGTGCACCCGCAATCAAAGTGAAGAGGCTAAAACATGCATCATAGGTCCTGTCTCTCTCCTCTGGGGGCGCTGGTTGTGGCACCCGGTTCATGCAGTCCGCAACAAAGTCTTCCATCCAGGGCGTGGTAGCCACCATCGTGGAGTTACTGTGAGCCACATTCATTGGGTCGACGTCATCACTGGGGTGTACCCGAGAGGTCCAGATTCCCCCATCCATGGCCTCCGGATGGTCCGGTGGCACTTGTTGCATGCAGAGCTGCATGAACAACTCCCCCTCTGTCTGGGTGGGGAAAATACCATGGTCCAGCAGGCTGTCTCGCATGTGTTCAGGGAGACGAACCATTGCCAGGCCAAAAGGTGTTCTACGCACAAGATCGGGTTCCATGATGTCCCGACTCACTATGGCCAAACCTGGCCCAAAAAGGGTACTGCGGGTGTGCGGAGCACTAACACATGAAAAGAGCAAGCTGAAAGAACAAACACTGAAAAACAAGGGGAAACCGTCAAAGTTGCAACTGGACCAGAGCAAGAGCAAGCCACGATTACATCAGTCACATCAGCGTAATGGGCGAAGCCCGAAAGGATACCAATGACATCAAACCAAGGAAAAACCTGTAGTGTTCACATCGCAACATGCCGTAAATGACACTGAGGCAGCCACATGCAGGTTTCCCTTTTTCGCTGTGTGAGCTGGCATCCCAGCGGTCTGGCCCCTGTCTTGGCCCTTGTCGTGGTGCGCAACCAATGCTATTCATACAAAAAAGGAAGGTGTCTGCAGAACCGAGTGGTGACGTTGGTGCAAGACGCTACCAGGCCACCAGGTCAGTAAAACAGCCCCTCGCAAACACTCAGCTCTCAGGCCGGCTGGACTCTGCTCGCTGCCAGCGCATTGATCTTCTGAAGGGCTTCGAGGTCCGGGTTGCTCAAAAGGACCGACCAAATGGCGTTGGAAACATTGCCATTTCCATTCTGGCAGGAAAACTTCAAGCGCTGGGTGTGGTCAGGGTCCACTTCCAAGGCCACATCTCGCGGGGCCGCAGTCGGCTCCACTCGCTTGTAATACTCAAGCCTGGACTTCACCCAGCTGTTGTACAGCTGTTGAGGTGGCTCGTCCAAAATCAATTGGAGGTTGACTTTGGCTCCCCGGTGCTCTCCAATCAATTGGACAAAGCGGGAAGCTCCTCTCGCTTGTCGCCAAAAGCCCTGGCAGGCCTTGCAAACCCAGCCTCCACGAGTCACTCCAGCCTCTTTCGTCTTCAGTTCCCAGGGACTGATACTGCTGAGGATGAGCCCGCAATCGGTGCGGCCCCAAAAGGCATGGACTCCACGGTGGCCATAGTGCTCCCGCTTGTACTTGGGGCTGCATATGGAGACCACATTTTCCACGGAGAGCTCGGGGTACTTATCGGTGCCCGAAGCTACCGTAGTCGCCCGCAGAGCCTCCGGCTCCAGTGCCGTCTTCAAGAAGCCATCAATCTCTGCCTGGGAGTAGCCCAGACGCCAATAGAAGCTCTCCGCCTTCTCATGGGGGACCAGGGCAACCCACCATAGCTCACAGTTGCACCTCCAGGCGACTTGCACTTGGACCATGCTGTGGGCCCCCAGAGTGGCTGACAGTGCCTGGAAAACGTCCGGGAGCTGCCTGAAAGCATCCAAAGGCAAGGTGATGCGCTCGTCACACACCGCTCGAAAACGGAGCTGCTCCTTTGTGTCCTGGATGTCTTGCTCGGGCAAGTCCAAGACCACCGCTGGGGTTCTGGCTAAGAAGACCGAAGCAGCCAAAAAGCTGCCAATTTCTTTGTAAAGCAGCCTGATCTCGTGTTGTGATTGGGGAAACCGGAGGCCCACACTAGTGAGGAAGGACTTGATCTCGGAAGTCCTCTGCCGGTGTGCCGCCAACTCTGCCACCTTCTTCTGGCGGATGCCTTCTCCCTGCCCTCGGCGCATGGATTTGATGATCAGAGGCATGCCACACCAAGCCTGGTAGATCTCTTTGAACGTCCAGGACTGTCCAAACATCGTGATCATGGAGGGGAGATCCCATGACTGCACCCTTCGAACCAGGTGGGTATCGTCGGTGCCAGAAGCTACCGCCGTCCCCGGGGCCCAAAAGAAGCCAATGATCTTGTCCAGGTCGGGTCGCTTGCCATCGGCAATCTGCTGCAGGACCACCTGTTCCGTGTAGGTTCTGGGCGTGTAGAAGGAGGTGCCCAGCGGGTTTGTCCTGAGCTCCAACGCCAAGACCTCAGTCGTAGGTGCAGGTTTCGCCCAGGCAGGTGCCGTGAGCGGGCCCTGTCGCAGTTCCCACTCTCCGCCCCAGGCTCTGACTTCACCTTTGTGGTACTGCAAGATGGAGTCAAGGATTGCGTACTTGCGTTCCAGGCTGTCAGGCGGAAGGAGTCGTGCTAACTGGGCCTCTTGGGAAGATACCGTCTCCTTCCCCATGGTGTACATGTCGAGTTGGGTTTTTGGGAACTCCGTCATGAGGCGGTCCTGGGAGAGCGGAGGCCTATTGTCCTTGATGAGCTCCTTCATGCGAAGGTAGGGTTGTTTGAGGGCCTCCATGTCAAACTGTTCAGGTCCTTGTGGTCCCATGGCCGGCGCGAAGACATTGCTCTGCCACGCCTCTTGCAGAGTTGGGGTCCAAAGTGAGAAGGGCGCCACGTCGATGGGCTTGAGAGCCTTGCGGCGGTCTCTGAACTCCGTGTCAAGGGCCTTGTTGGCAGCCGCCGCTTTGTCCTGTGTTGTCTGTGCTGCCACCAAAGCTTCATAAGAGGAAGTGAGACCACTTTCTTCGTGTTTTCGCTTGAGGTAGGACCGAAACTGCTGGAGGTCAGCGTGGCGAAGAATTTTGGCACTGACCGGATTCTGGGTTTCCTGCGCGCCCTGCTGGATGGCAGTCAAGGTGTGTAGCTCATCCTCCATCGCCACAGTCTCTTGCTGATGCTGAATCTCCTTCTTCCTCTTTTTGGCCTCCTGTGCCGCTTCTGTGAGTTCTTCTTCTGGTGTTGCCAGCAAGTCAGCCTTGAAGCGCATCAGTTCAATAGTCTTCGGATGAAAGATCACCGCAGTTTGAGTAGGGTCTCGATCATCCATAGTGGGGGGGCGCACGCCATCTGGATGAAAGATCTCGTCCTGCCCGAAGGCCACCACGTGTTGCTGCAGTGTCAGGCGCTGGGAGGCAGGCACTTGCTCCGAAAAGCTGACCAACCCCATACCGGCGCCCGAAGCTGCCGCAGGGGGAGGTCGGCCCAGATCGCCCACTTCCACAAAGCCCGCGGCCTTAGTGACCTTAGAGTCTGTTGGGACCCAAGTTGGTCCAGCCTCAGTAAGCCTCAGTTGCCAGGACTGGCCGGCCACCTCAATCACCGACAAAGGTGTCACTGACAGGTCAACAGGCTGAGAGCCTTGGCAAAGCAAACATTTGGATAACTTCCCCCACGGTGCACTGCAATCAGAACAGACTAATTGCGGAGAAGTTCCGGGGTCCGTCTCTTTCAAATTCACCATGGAGCCCCCACGCTGCGTAGTGTGCCGGAGTTTCAACATCTGTGTGTGGACAGCCTCGCGCTTCGAGATGTGATACCACCTCTGCGATCTTGACCACCAAGGGTGCCGTCCATGGAGAACTGCGGAAAGCGTCCAACAGGGAACGCAGCTCACCATGCGTAATGTCTCTGAAGTACTTGGCAGCAGAGTGAGGTAGGGCCGGAACCAAGGGTGCCCAGCCTTCGATGGTGAAGGTCTCTGTGGTCTGATCCACGTGGAGCGTCAACGTCTCCTTCTCTAAGGTCTGTGGTGTCTGAGCTGGAGTCGGTGCCTCAGCCTGGACGAACCCCGACGGAGGTTTCACACTTGACGCTGCCACACCTGTCTCCGGCTTGGGTTCCAAGCCCAAGTTTTCCATCACTTTCTCCATCTCATGGAGCTGCGAAGCCAGTGTCTCCTTGGTGATGGCGGGATCATCTTCAAACTCTGTCGTAACCTCGGCCGGCGCAGCCTCAGTCACCGGTGTGGAAAGCAACATGTAATCGTCCCCTGCATCCATTTCTGTTCCAATCAACGAGAAGGAGCCCACGGTGCCAGTCTCACTTGCTACTGGACTAGAAGCCGCCATGAGCAAGACAAGAAGATCAGAACGTCTTTTCGAAAGTATTGGATCACAGGGGGAACAGCTTGAGCCAAAATGGCATAGCCATTTTGGCAACTATATCGTCAACACATTACTTGCTCTCCACAAGTTCCAAGCAAAGAAACAATTATATATTAACTAGCAACGTAACTTGCACATTGCAAAGCATTGCTCGTTTCTCACGTTGCGCTCGTCCACCAGTGCCTTGGAGTCATCTTTGCTGCCAACGTTGGCGAACCTCGCTGCAGTGATGTGGGGGGTTCCAATGGGGGTACCCCAAAATGGTTGGGGGTATCACCGTTTGAAATCTCCAGTATGAAATGGTATGAAGATCTTGGGTCAAGTGGACGGTACATATATATGAATATGCATATAATATGCATACATTCACATTTAAAATTCGCAACTGCTGAGGAGCTTTCCCTAAGAATCCCATCCGCAGAGATCGGAACACAGAGCGTGTTCTCAGAAAAATTGTTTCGCCTGGATCCGAAAGCTTTTCGCGTCACTGCATCGGGTTCTATCACTGCCCCCCTGGCCAGTTGGGACATTTTGAAGTTTTGAGCTCGAACTTGACACAACACACCATGCAAATGGCCATGCCAATCCTGCTTTTGACTGAAAGATTTGAAGCAAGAGAACAGAATGGCACGAGCATCGGTGTTTCAATCTGCTTGTGCTCGGTCCAATCCAATAGGCCGGTAGCACGGCTTCGAATTGGCAGCTTCTCCGTACAAATATTCTCGCTTTGCACGCTCAGTCTCCTGTTTGCAGTCACAGCATGTGTGGATGTGTGATACCGTATATTGATCTCCAAACACTCAAGCAAATAGATATGCTAGCTGGATTTTGTTAGCTTGAACTCACTTGAAACTCGCGCCCTCTCAAGCCCTCTCACCTCAATGTTCTTGAGCTTGTACTCCACTGGTAGTGCCACCTGCCCGTTCCACGGTTCCACTTCCGCTCACGTCCATCGCACGAAATCATCGCGCCTCTGCCAGTCCAGCCACCCAGCTCATCTTGTCCACCTGACTGGCCGCTGCATCCGGCACCTCACGAAGCTGACATCAAGCGATGGCAAGCCTGGTAAGCATTCCGTAAGCATTCCGTAAGCATTCCGTAAGCATTCCGTAAGCATTCCATGCATTCCATTCTACCAATTCCACAGATTGACATTGCATGCGATTTCGCTGCCGAAAATGGATCCAAAGACTCACAGTATCCGCGTCACCTCTTAGGCAAAATGCGCCATGCATCCTTCACGTAACGAATGTATTTTGTGCACCTGCAGGTTCGAGGGCACTTCATACAGCTGCTCTTCACGTGTCTTCTCTTTGATTTCTTCCTCCTGGGTGTGGTCTGCGAGAGTGCCCACTCAGTATACCAAGTGATCTAAATGTACAAAGAAAATTGATCCCAATCAACAGAAATAAGTCAAAGCAAATGGTCTCATTTGCTGATTTCACTAGCAAGAAGCATCTCCCTAGCGAGAAACTGCAACATTACCGCTCCTGCTTGTTCTTGTTGAAAAGCCGCTCTTCCAAGTAGGCCTTCACAAACAAGCTGACGCCGAGCTGGTGCTGTTCATCACGCAGTGGTTGTGATCAAAGTTGACAGAACACTAGAAGAAAGGTGAAACATATGGAACGCATCAAATGAAAATCACACCTCTTTGCTCAGCGCACTTGGGGCCCGCCTCTAAGTGGTGATCAGGACCTTTTTGCCCCGCAGTGCCAGAGAAGGATTTCTCCAAAAGGCCCCACTGCTCCTTGTCCTCCTCAGAGGCTTCACGTTCCAAAGATTTCAGTGTTGAACTGCATCTATAGTCACCATGGTCGCCATGACCAGCTGTCAAAAGTCTGGATGGTATTGCAATATACTAAATATTCTTTGCAAACTTCTTAGGACCTACTGTCCCTTGGTCACAACAGGACTGACAGGGGCCTCCTCCTCTTGTTCGACTTGCTTCACCATCTCTGGTGCTGGCAGAACCTGGCCCCATAACATCCTGTCATCAACCACTGGGCCCCAAAAAGCCATGGTCAAACGGCCAGGCCGACCCCACGAGGCTTGTGCCACTGCTCTTTCTGGATGAGTCGCACCTCTGGATGAGTCACTTTCAGTATGACGATTTAAAGTTCCACGATGTGTCAGGGTAGCATTCAGTACTACATTGATCTACATTGTCCCATTATGTCCCATTTGGTAAAAGGATCCCATGTGCAACCGGATCTTTCAATAAGGACTGGCCCACTGGGGAAAGTTTCGAAGTGCCGCCTCTTGGAGCTTCATCTGTTCTGCAGTTTCGTTGTCACTCGCCTGCCGTGTGGGAAATGTAATAGAAAAAAAGATGTGGGAAAAAAAGAATACCTTATCACTTTATCACGGAACCTCTTTGAAGTGCCTGAAGTGTTGTTGAAAAACGTTGCATGCATTGAAAACTGATCAAACCTTTGACCGTGAACGCCCTTTTGTGAAGCCCATCAAAAGTGAAAAAATGCTTAGACTATTCTTCGTGAGGTTGTACATGTTCATACCTACTCAGGTAAGGAGTATGTTATGATGTTATGTATGTAACATTATATATATATAATATGTATCAGTATCATAGTTAATCTCTGGCTCTGAAGTACTAGTGCAGGAAGACGAGAAGTCACACCAGCTGCTTTAGGCCTCATCGTCATCATCTTCTTCGGCTTTCCGTCTGGTACCTCTCGTCCGTGAAGTGATACCCAACTCTGTGTGAAATTAGCTGTGCCTCCTTTTCCCCTTTTGCATCTATAGATGTGAGGTTCGCAGCCCCAAAATTGCAATGGGAATGGGAAAATGATGATCATTGGATTGGTACCACATTTTTGGACAAACCCAGGCGATACAAGATTGTCACCTCGCGGTCGGCCACGGCTCTTGAACATGGCAAGGCCCGCGATGCGCACGTAGCAAAGGGTGTGTGGGTAATGGTGATGTTCTTGCAACGGAGTCTTGGAAATCCGTAAGTTTCAACCTACAATATCACGGAAGTAAATTTCTAGAGACATCTTGTCACTTGGAGCTACACTTCATGCTGCGTGCTATCAGTTATATAGTATACATCCATTGGTTGACGATCATTTATGCCAAGCCTTTGAACCTGATTTGAGTAGGCAGGACACAGAGAAGGAGCGTTTTCATGCAAAGCAATTGTACCGTACAGAATGCAAAGCAATGCTCCACAACAAAGCAAGCAAATATCATGCATTATGCTTGCCATGGGCAATGTGTTCTGCATCAAGTTGTCGCTCCAATTATTTTGCCACTAGACCATGTGCCACAACCCCCGACGGTCTATGACCAAGCGCTAGAGGTCGGCGAATTCGTCTTTCTGCAGAGCCAACGGCCCACACGCGTGGACCTTTGCAGCTGCAAATTGGAGCTTCGACCGAAAGTGATGTTCGTTTTAACAGGTCCTTTTGTTGGCAACAATCAAAGAAGCAACCCAAGTACTGGATACAAACAATGCAAAAACAAATGCATATAATTAATTATAATCATGATAAGCCTTGGTCCTAGGCATTTTCTCTCGAGTGACACTTCCTGACACGCGCTTTGTCGCGATAAGCAGCCTGCTCTCCGTCAAGTTCACATGCCAAGGATTGACTATTGATGTCTTGCTGAGTTCATGGATCGCAGAGGCTGCTACAAAGTCGATCTCTTCAGGACAGAGTCGGAAGGTCCTTCCTATCTTCACACTTCTGTCCTGGTGAACCAATCCCTTCAGGATAGTCCGTCAATTTGCTGCAGCAAATCGCAATTGCTGCAGGAGGCGTGCATCGGAGTCAGAAGCCGATGATTGCAACTGCCTCACAAGTTGCACTAAACGTTCAACGATTTCAACACTGTTGAGGCTGTCCATCCTGAAAATCACGGATCACAGGGATGCAACTGCTGTATTCTTGGGTGTCCCAGCCAGCCAAAACACGATCCAAACCTCAGCGAGATCTATGGATGACGCAGAAGGCTGTATGACTCGTATGAGATGGCAACCCATCGAGCTCGAGTTCCTCAAATACCTTGTTCTTCACTTTTGCAGCTAAAGTCCTGTCCTTTTTGAGAGGAAGCCATTAGGCAAGTTGCATTTGGTTTAGTGCGAACATTGCGGCAATATTGAAACTCTCACCATATCAAAAACGTCTGCCAAAGCGATTTGACCTTCTCCCAAACACTTCACGTATACGCCCCTTCTGCGGATGGTTCTGAGGCGGAAACTGTCTGTGAAAAATGAGCATTGTTACCAATGACGATGGCATTCTGCGGACGTCACAACGGCTGTAACGAGGGGAAACCAAGAGAAAAGATCACACTCTAACCCCTGTCCAAGAGCAAAGGAAATAGTCGAAGACACTCCGCGAAAATCGGGGATGGCGAAAGGTCTTCATCTCAAGTGGGGTCAGGCTACGGAACCACTGGGCATAGCAAGTCTAGCAGCTGTCTCGCTCCAAATGCAATACAAGTTGAAAAAGGTTGAAAAACTTCAAGCATCAGAGAGGCTGTGTAAAAGATAGCCTTTGGAGTACGTATCAGAATCTATCAATACCTATCAGATCTATCAAATGCAAAAGAGTACAGTATCAAGTAATACTTTCAATTCAAAATGTCTTCATTCTCCATTCCAGGTGGTGCCGAAAGCTGAGTCTCCGCACCAGCATTGTCTGATTCAAGGGCACGAAGACACCCACAGGTGCTCTTCCACCACGCAATGCTGAGTAGACTACCCAGCCAGTGGCACCTGCTTTCCATGCAAACATCTCTTTTTAAGATGTATGCACGTACAGGCCATGCATTCACAGAGTAGGCTTGAATATGCTTCAATGAGCTGCAAAAGACATCCTTCTGAAAGGATCATTTCTTGACTTCCAAACGAGTTGAGCCTTCTGGCGGTCTGCTGTCGATGGGCACGGAGTACACGTCGCTCCTGAACAGCTCGAGTGGATTCTGGAGGAAGTTCACCCAGCATGCGAAGAAACTTCGAAGCAACATACAGTATCTAGATGGAAGTCAGTCAATTTCTATATTTTCATATGTGTTCATATATTTTCTATACTAGAATGTTTCCGTGCAACTTGAAATCACTGTCCAAATGCTCTGAGGACCGGCCTACAACAAGCATCTCCCATACCAGCTTGTGCTTGACCCAGGGCCTTGGTGTCACAACAACTACAAGTCTTGTCAGAAGAGGAACAATAAAAAGGGCCCGTGCCACTTCAAGCTATCAAACTGATTGTCAAAAGCTAGAAACACACATCAAATCAGCACACTTGAATCAAGGCAGAGCTACTTGGGTTTGTCTGAAAATAGTGTTAATATTCCCAATGAAATAGCCATTTAATAGGGATAATGATCAGCAAAACCATTTGGTTTAGGGCTACACTATTTTCAGACACAGCCACTTAATAATTCTTAGACCGTCAGAGCTGTCATAGCTCTGCTGAGACCGTTGCCGTAGACCCCATCCTATCCTCGCAACTGTCTGCCCAGAAGACTTCGTAGTAGAGCACATCCGACTGCAGTTGTACACACCAGGTCTCAACAGTCTCAACAGGTTTGCTGAAAGAAGGACTCCTCAACTGTCCTCAACCTGGATGTTCTGTGGCAACTTGGCATGATCCTCCCTACAAACAATCCCGTCTCGCTATTTGCAAAAAACGAAAGACCCCAACAGCACAAGCACCAGCCTCATTCACAGAAGCCCCTACTAGTGCTGGGCCCAAGTGAATTGCTCCACGAGCTAGGCCCTCAGCGAGTCTTGAAACATGTTACGTGTCAATGAAGTATACCCAAGAATAAACCACTCCAAGTTGGACTATCACCCCAATTGGGCTTTATTATTGGGTCCCCTAATCGGGATGATATAAAATTACCCCAAACGGTTGGTTGCTGGGATGTTTCATGATTGGATTTACCATGATTTACCACATTGTACCCATGAAAATCTCGGATCCTTTTGCAAGGGACCAAATGGCTCATGGATTCTTCTCATAACCGAGTCTTGCAAGCAGCCATGATTTTTGCCAACGTGCCGAGCAGGACCGAATCTACCAGACCCGGTCCTTGAAAAAAAAACACTGGTTCAAGCTCCGTTGTAGCTAGTGTAGCCAATTGCATTTTGGTCAGTTTCCAATATGCTGAAGAAGCTGGAACCTCCCGCATTAACTACCGTCTTACTACACTCTTGCGGCCACCAACTGGAAATCTCCAGCGTGCTAACATCTGACCTGCACACGGGTTCCAATCCTTCCCCCAGACTGGGGCAACGACGTTCCCAGAGCTGTCATCAACGAAGATTGCCTGACCCAGTTCCAACCTTTGAAAACTGGGTGCTGCCAATCAGTATCAGTATAACGAAGCAGTACCAAATCAATACTAGAACTTGCAGTGGAGTCACTAAAGCTAGACAACTGAGGGTCAGAAAGATAATCTGCTGTGCAAATATTGAGCATTGAAGGAAATTAAATGTATTTCCATTTGTGTATTCGGTGGATTGTCAGTGTGGAGCCCGAAGGAAATCAGAGAGTTTGGTATCAACCCTTCTGCACCTCGCAGGACAAAGGGATTGCACAACCTGATGACGCATTTGGTGCTGATCATGGATCGGTGCTTGAAGAGAGAAGTCACTAGCGCTTGTTTCTACCTTTAGTTTGGCCACAAAGTTGGCAGTCTCAAGATAATAAATCAAGGTCTAGGAATAGCTTGGTTTTGGCAAGCAAGCCAGGGCATACAAGGAAGCTTGCTGCGCTGCAAGAACGACAACCCGACACAGCATTGAAAAGGGTGGCGCACTTGTGCCCTTTTCTCACTTCAACTTCGATTACCCACACGCAAATTGTTCCTCCCTTGAGAGCGCACCTGTCATCAAAGGGTCGACTGTGCAGTCTGGACCTCACTGCGTCGCCATCCGGAAATCAATTGCGGTAGACCCCGGTTGTCTGACCCCACCACCCACAGACTCAGATGCAGGCCAGGTTGGCAGAGCTTCCGTGCAAAGCCTGGACTGGCTGTATGGTTCAGAGCTGTTCAACGCTGTGTTTCAAAGCTTTGGAGATGACGTCTAAGCATGAGCCCTGCAGCAAAACGTCTTCGAATACAGCTTTGGACGGCAAAGAGTTTGCGTGGAAGTGTGAACTTGGCAACCGAGAGTTTTGAAAGCTCAAATCGGAGCATTAAATCTACAAATGATGGCTCTAGCTGCAAAGCGAACCCGTTGAGATCTTTGTCTTTGATGCTATCACTGTATCAAGAGCAACCTGTATCTTGGATGTTGGAGTACGGTCTGCTAAACCCAGTCAAAACCGATCTGTGTTTCATGCCCTTACTCACTCAGGCTTAAGCACCAGCACGTCCAGCGACATCGTTTTTGCATACTATGCAAACGATTGCGTCAATTCTTGCATGGAAGAAAGTGTAACAGGAGTCCAGCACAGCACATCAGCCTACAAAGGGAAGATGTCTTAGATTCTAGATAAGTTTTATGTAATTTATGTATAGTAAGTATGGACAGGATCTGATTCTGTATACTCCCGGCTCCTCGTCTCCTCTCCCCATGTGCTGTTGACAGTAGGGGCGCCTCCATAGCCCTCTGCGCAGGAGTATGTGATCTTGTTGTCGTCAAAGGGATCCTGTGTCCTGGGAGTCTAGCCGTCAAGACGGGAAGGAGCTCAAAGTCATTTGACAGCAGCTGATTCCTATGCTACAAGTTGGAAAATCGCTAGGCAGTGCCGCCCTTGCTTTACCGAACTTTGTCCCTTGCAGCCCAAGTAAGGTGTACAGATGAACACCCCTGAGGATGTCTCAAGTTGTAACCAGGAGGTAGCGGAGTCGGCTCGCCACCTTGCTGTCCAGTGCACTGACGAAGCTGGGAAGAGATTGAGGTTCAAAAATATATGACCCAAGAAGGAGCCAAGTCGCCAACAAAAATGAGAATCTGTTCGTCCAAGCCACAACCGCAGACCGGCAGGACACCCAGCAAAGTCCGGTTCGGGTCCGTGTTGGCTACGGGGCCTTAGAATGAAGGGTATGGGTGCTGGATGGTGCTGGTTTTCAGTCGTAATTGTAGAAGTGAAATGCATCATCTCGGCACCATCGATTTGATTCAACGTATCCTGTCTACAAGCCGATATCCTTCAAAGAGCCTCGTGCAGCTCTGTGCCCTTGGGTACTCAAACCATGTCTGGGACGAACCAAATGTACAAGACTGTTCATTTCTTTTGCAATGGTTGGGGGGCATCTACAACCAAAGCACCATTGGCATCATTGTCATCATCAACAGCAATAGCTCGCATCAGCAAGGACAAGGAGAAGCACAGGACCAGCATAAGATCGTCCCCTCAATTAGATATGCAATATTTTAAGTCGCCGCAACCTATTGCTGCGCAAAAAACGTGATCCTTCAGCCCGAATCCTGAACATGTTCACACCTCAACTTTCAACATGCTTGCAGAACCAACAGACTGGTCCGCCGAAGCATGAAACATCACCAACACTGGTTTACATCACATCGCAGACTGCTTTAATGCGTTGCACAATGCTTTCACATCACATTGCGTTGTTTGCAGTTCACAGTGTGCCGCCAACTGAGGTTCCAGGCAAGCGAAGTCGCTTGTTGGTCCCAGGTAGGGAGACTGCAGGGAGTTCCAGCTTTGCTCCAGTGGTTCTTGGGTTGAAACCATTTACGGCACCACCGAGCAACTCAAACTCACAGCGAATCCACAAACATATCATATATATAATATATATGTATATAATATATAATCATATAATATATATATATCATATAATATATATATATACATAATCATATATATATATAATTATATATACAGTAACATGGAATACCACCTATTCAATTTTTTCTGAAGCATAGCCTAGCACGCAACAACATCGGACTTGACAAACTTCGCCCACATGCTTTCGCGCTGGCCAAGCACTGTACCGATGTGGCAAACGAAAGGAAGGCAACGGTTCCCGGCTGGCCTGGCAGCGAACGCTGCAAACTTGGCCAGGTGGCACCTTGGTACAATCCATGCACTTCTCTGCAGGCTGCCTACTGGGAAGATGTGCCGGCTCCCATCCTATTTCCAACGACTAAAGCATTCTTTACTTTAAAGATCTTTAAAGTTGACTTTGCCGGTCTTAGATCGCTGTACTTTACTCACTTGCACCCCACAAACCATCCTGTCAGAACTTCAGATGCAACCGGATCCCAAGTCACATACAAGATAACATACACCCAAAGAAGTATATATAGAGGAAACCTATCAGTGTAGCCTATGCTATCCTTGCTAAACAGATGCTACATGTTCGAAAGAAGTCCCTGCATGACTATAAGCGCACTAAGAGAACTAAAGTGCAGCTGCTAGGAACTGCAGTGCAATCGGAGACGTCGTACCTCCACACGGGCAGTGGCTGAACCCCCAATCGTGAATCACAGCTCGACTGAATCTTTGTCCTATCTTAGTCCTCTCTTTGCAACTGAAAGTTTCACAAAGAAACTCCTGGTGGATGCTCCACTTTCTGACCTATCGCCAAGTCCCAGCTTCCCTGGGCTTCCCTGGGCTTCCCTGGGCCTCCCTGGGCTTCCGCACATGCATGGGACAGGTCCAAGATCTGGAAGCCGGCAAGGCTGTTCCATGACACAACCAGAAAGCAAGGGCTCAGCTACACATTCGTCCTGCAAACACATGCGAATCCACAGCACCAGCTGATTTTCTGCCAACAAATGCAAATGCCACTATGATTCAATGAGGTAGCGATAATGATGCATGTAGGTAAGCGCACGCTCGTGCCATCAAGCGAATGCCAAAGCACAAGTCCTCCATCCACATGCATGTTTTGTTGACTCTGCCGGAGTATCCGTCTGCGCACCTGCGAACTATAATGCTTGGGCATGCTCAAGTCTGCTTTGGAAAGCAAATTCACAGTGTGCCAGCTTTTCAACCCTGAAGAAATTAGCTGGGGGCAGAGGGTAACACCTCCTGCACCCCATGTTCACCGCTCGCTACTCGCCAAGTTGCTCCCAATGGTCTTCCACTTTGACATAGCCATTGCCGTTTGCTGGATCTGAGCAGCTGTTTATCACGCAAACTGGGTTGGTGTAGACCTCAAAGAGCGCCAGTCTTCTCACAGACTTTCTTGAGTACTCTGAAAGTGTAGGAAAACAGTGGAAGACATGTCATCTTGGTAGCTGGGCTGGGGAGGAAACAAAGCACTGTCGCGGAGGAAAGAGGATTCCTTGAGAACCTTGGCACAAACCTCGAGAAAGCAGTCTTGAAAAGCCCAGGCACCAAGCCATTCACGTCTGTGTTGCCTTGAAGACAGGTGCCAGTAGTTGAACTCCCTGCAAAGCCGTTCTGCGCCTACGGACCAACAGTGAGAAGTGACGAAGTCACCCAGAAATACCTACCTATCTCAGCCATCTTTCTTGGCACACAGGGACTTGTATGACGATTGTTGTCAGCTATGAAACATCATGAAACTCTCTTGCGACTTTCATGTTCAACTTCATTCATAGATTCATAACATTGATGCATAGACCTCCTCGGTTTGAAACGATTAGATGATTAGATACACTAGAATGCCCTGTGTTCTGCCAAGGGCCACGCTTCTACTATGAACCGCTCAAATCCGTGAGGTTCGGGGTCACAAGGGAAATCACAACATCTCAAGAGCTCCTTGTCACAGCATTCAAATGGACAGTGAACCTAGCCCTGAGTGAATAACAAACGCAAGCAGCTGTCTATATAAGGGTGCTCAAATAACAACCAACAGGGCTTTTTGAATCTGCCAGATTCAAACGAATTATTTGGTTAGGGCGTGCTCAGCATTCGTGAAGTTCTGATCACCCTCCAGAACCCCCGATCAACAATGTCGAGGAAGAAGGCAAATGTGCCAAGGATCATTCTACATGAAGCAAATTGACCTGGTGTTGTTGCTAACGTTTTGGAAAAATCAACAAGGACTAGCGCACCTTGCAAGTCACTGTGCACTGACTGTTGGGCTGCACGCTCATGCAATCACTGAAATCGTAACCTCGCAGCTTGATGCTGAACTGTCTTTGGGATCTCATTTCGAAACCAACCAGACAAAAAACAAAAAATCGCTCTGATCGGTTTACACAATTGGGCTCTGATTGGTAACCAAAAAAAGATGCCTGACAAGGTCCCGAAGTCCCAGCCCTACTTGCACACTACAATTTGGAAGCGAGAAGCAGAGTCTTTCGGAAAAGAATCTGGCAAGAATCGCATTTTTCTCACATGATTGTTTTCAAGAATTGGAACCTTAAAAACCCACCAAACTGGTTTCTGTCATCCAAAACAGTGATCTTCAGGTATCCTGGTATGGCATGCCCGGAAGCTCCAGCGTCCCACGCGCCAAGCAACGACAGTCGGTGTCTTGTGCCTCGCAAGGCACCAACTGCAAACAGCCCTGGAGCACCGCTCGTATCTCGCAGCTCTCAGTGGTTTCACAGACCTTCGCCAGCGCAGGGGATATTCCTAGCTGAGATATACTGAGATCATGTCATCTCGCCATTGGTGCATCTAACATCATCTAACACTTCAAACAAATGATTGGTATTCAAAAGTGTTCTACAGTACAAACTGCAAAGCAAGTTTCTTGCTCTTTTCAGCGGTTTCTTAGGATCGTGCATTGCAATCTTTGAAAGCTACGCGACATCATTGCACACTCCCGTTCCTGGCCTTTTCAGCAAAGCCGGTATAGCTCTGTGCACATTCCCAGCCTGTTGTCCCAAAACCTGACTTTGTGCTACCAGTGCGGTGTCCATGCCAGGAGACCATTCTGCAGGTCTTCGGATAAAACTGCTGTCGTTGATCACAAGATCTCGCTGCCACCGAGTCACGTTGGTAGCCCGCAGGCACTTGGCCGGGCTCATCGCAAGAGTCTAAACCGCATGGTGGACGAGTCCAAACCAATCCGTTCGGATCTGTGTTGCCATCTGGGCAATAAGCCTCACATGGAAGACCGAACTCCCCACATTCAACATGCATCAACTTCAGAAAGAGCTGTTTTAGGGTGTCAGCAGCTCGTTGGCACTGGAATATCGGCAGCAAATGAATTCAAACCCGACCAAGGGCGTTCTGTCTAAGGCACCTCCGTCTTGGCGCCAGTGAATGGACTCTTGCAATGAACCTCGCACTGTTCGCCAGGATTCACCGACGTGCAGGCCGAGACATCCTCAAGTGGTGGCTCATGCTGATCAGGAAGGAAACTCAAAGAATCATGGGGACCCAATGCAGCTTTAAGGAGGGAAACTTTGTAAGTCACCCATCTCAAGACTTGGCAGAGCGGACTGCAAAGATCTAACTCTTCGAGCACTAAATAATTAAAATAATTAAGAGAAGGTGGATTAATATGATTAATACTCTTCCAGCCAGGTTTCATACGTGCATCCGTCCAAACCAGTCAATGTGGGCGCCAAGCATGGGACCACCTGCAAACAGCCTGTCAGTGCCTCGGCATTTCCAGGTACTTACCGCACAATTTCGGGAAATTCCAGCACGACCGACCAACCAGTTTGCTCAACTCTTCACTATCCGGTACCAAGGAAAAGATGTGCTATTGAGGCACTGCAGCAGCAGAGCAATCTGACGTCCAGGTGTCCTTGAGAATTGGGGCAGGGTGCAGGACGCTCCAGCCAATTGGATGCATGATCAACCCTGAACTTCAGAACCATCTTTGGATCCAGCCAAGTAAAGCTTGAAACCAGCACTGCGAGCCAACAGGCATGCCAACGCTAAGTTTCGCTGTCAGCCAAGTCTCCCCCAGCTCGCATCTATTCCGTGCCGTGCCATTGTAACCAGTGGCACAGACCCATTTCCCATCGGCGGTCTTGTTGTAGCCTGAAATCGTTCATCTCTGGAGCGGGGTCAAAAGCTGGCTGTCAGGTCCTTCTGATAAGGCAAACAGTAGAATGGAAAAGGAAGGTATTGGTAGTCCAAAATGAGGGGATACCCCCAAAATTACAAGTATACAGTATACAATGATATTTTCGGGTACAAACAACCTGGTCTCAAGTCTTTCAAACTGATTCCGAGTACATGGCCGCACTGCCAAGGAGCCAATCGGCCAAGGTGAAGGATCTGGGCAGCTCTCCAGTAAACCTTGGATCCCAAACGCTCAATCGGATTCAATCGTACGCTTGTATGAGTCAACTGCAGCACCATGAGCGGAGCAAGAAGCTCATTTCATCTCATTTCAATTCTCCATAACCATCCATAACCTACATCGGAGTCTCGCAGGAAACAAGAGTTGTCCTGGATGGCCTGCTCCATCACACTGTCTTGTGATGTCTTGGGGCCTCTTTCCCATAACATACGTCGCAAAGTATCCCTGTGAATTTGAAGGTGATGGTTTGTGACTTTGGTGACATTTGTGACATTTGTATACATGTGTGACATTTGTGACTTTTGGCACCCAACAAGTCAAAGGAAAGTAGTCCAGCTCCTGCAGTGGATCGGTGTTGAGATCCTGCAGGCATTCGAGCCACTTCCAGCCTAAGCCTCGAAGCTATGATTTCGAAGCTATGATTGCAACAGAATGACCACTATAATCCAGCAAATGGTCAAGAGGATACTACACCAGTACAGTTGGACAGTCTCAATGATATCAGCTGGTTCCACCATTGTTATATCATCCGACTGATGGCGAACCCGACCGACTGAATGGAATGTACGACTGGTTGCGCCTTGCAAACCGCCACGGTGTGATTCCCCGTCAAAGGCGTTTGGCAATGGATCTGGGCACGAGAGCAAGTTATCTCCAGAGCTCATCTGAGTAGGGAGGACCCGCTTGAGTCTAGAATCCTAGATTGAGCAATGCAGCTTTTCTGTATTCACGATTGGCCAATTCCCTGAGTCCAAACAAACAACTCTGTGACAACTTCTTGACTAACGAAATGATGTAAATCGTGTAAATCGTCCAAGAATTTGAATGCCAACTGGGCCAACAGGAAAGCCAATTGTCACCTCAACTGCCTCAACTCCCCAAGTCGCCTCACATGATCCCCCAGGCGGGACTTGCGTGCAACGCGACACGTCAAACCTTGCATCGGGAACAGCGTGTTTTTTTCCACACAGGCCCACCATGAATTGGTCACGAGACAACCAGAGACAACATGATATCGCTTTGGCACATCGGACTTTTAAAACGGTACAAAAGTGTGATTTGAGTGCATATCGCTCTTGCTCCAAATGCAGGGGCAAAGTGTGAATGCTAAGGCTGTTAAGGGAAGTCTCTTGTGCTCAGTACAGTCAGATGGTTGTGTCCCAGTTTTGCTCGCAATCCAGGTCATTTGGCAGTGTGTCAAAACCTTGTACCCCTGTAGTTCACATCAAAATAGCTGGGATTCATGGATGTTCATTCCCCTAAAAATGGTATTAATAGGTATTGATCCATACCCATTTATGGTCATCTCATGGCACACGACTTCAAGCTTTCAGATCCCACCTGCAGTTGTCCACAGAAGGCATCGCACACGGGACCAATTTGTCGCAGCCTCTCAAGAAGGTCTGCACCCCGGCACAGCCTCGCAAACACAGGGCACCCAAGAAAACGGGTACAGAAAGTCGCAGCAACCCAACGTTGTGAGATTCACTTCCGGACAGAACCCTTGGTGGGAAATTAACGTAAATGAACTGTACTTGTTTCAAGCATGCAGCATGCAACGACTTGTGAACAAACTTAGACCAAAAGTTCCTGGAGCGTTGCTGCAGTCCTGGCAGGGGTTCGCAAACAACTTCAGGTACTCCAGCAAAGCCCTGAGTGCAATGCCACCGGCCGCTGCTGTCCTGAAACAGGAGACCCGTGGGGCTAGATATAAATCTCGTATCCCGGTGTCCCCAGAGATCTAAACGCGTCGAACAAACTTTAAAAAAGCCGTGGAGAAAGCGAAACATGGGAATCAAAGGGAGGAGATGTCCCACTCCGAATGGTAAGTCTGAAGATCGTCCTGAGCATAGCCCTGCTGTGCATCCGGCTCTGGACAAATGCAAGTTGGCTCACTCCACATCACCATTCTGTCCCTGGGTTGGGCAGCAATGAACAGCGAAAATCAAGTCTCTAGGCAGAAAAAACTTGCTTTGATTTGTGAGTTTTGCTGTGAGGACTTCAAAGAGTTGACAGGTACTAGCCAATAGCAATCATAGAGCATCTTCCAATTATTCAACATATTTAACAAAAAAAAAACTGAACAGCTCCAGGGAGCAAAACAATGCAGGTAGCAAAACAATGTGCCAAGACGCGGAATGCTGTTGCCTTTGGGGCATTGCCCAGTGGTCCAGTTGCCCACGCGTACAAAGGGTGCTGCACAGTCAATCATGCAGGTCTCTCCAGGCCCCACTGCATCGCATAGGGACGTATTGAACATGCACCTGGAAGCCAAGAAAGAGCGAGAAAAATGCGTGGGGAGACATGGGTGCCCACATTCCTACATGTTCCAAGCAAAACCTGAGAGATTTTCTGGCAATGTTGGGTGGAGATGGGTTCAGCTGAGAGCAAGTTTGGGAGAAGAGCACAGTGTCCTATACTGATTGGTCAAAGCATCGCTGGGGAAGCCATGCCGTCAAAGTTGCCCTGCCTTTTCACTTGATCATTAATGGTGATACTTGCGCATGGCTGGCACATTGGCTTCCTCACACAGCACAAGACCATGGCAGCAGTGCATCACAACTATGCGGTCCAAAGCCAGTGCGTTTTCCACCTGAAAACCTACTCTGACCCCAGATGTGCAAGGCCATGTTGCCTCATTCCTATATATAAATTATATCGTAGTGTGTATAATATATAGCATATATATATATATTTATACATATTTATTTATACATGTAATCCTTTCATCCTTTGATCCTTTGCTTTATAATACACAAAGGCCCAAGGGGCTGATCCACAAAGCTCACCGCTGGCTTCGGCGTGCAAACCGGCTGCCTCGGTCGAAACGCAGATGAAAAGACGGGGCTTCCAGAGAATCTATGTCACATCACTATTATACATATCTACACATGGATATCTGACAATTAATATGATATAGATATACGTGTGTGTATATATATGTGTGTGTATGTCCATGCTTTAATTTTAATGCATAATATAATATAATATAATATAATATGATATAATATAAAATAATATAAAATAAATAATATAGTATAATATAATATAATATAATGTAATATAATATAATACAATACAATACAATATAATGTAATATAATATAATATAATATAATATATAGATATGATATCCTGTGAGATGTAACTCAACCAAATGTCATGCTTCCTAAGACCCTGACATGGACGCATTGTCCATTGTGTCCTGCAGGAGATTTGCTACACAAACTTCCAATGTTGCTGTCATGCAGTCTCTGAACGGTAGAGGAAACTGTTTGTCGTTCACCACTGTTTCCAGGTATGACTCGTTACAGCGGAACGTCATGACGTCATGACTCTTCCTGCACAATGGATGAATGAACTGTTCCCGTGGTCCTGCAGCCGTCTCTCACCGCGCAAGTTGTCGAAGCCTTGGAATGCAGGTATACATTGTTGTGCCTTCAACCAAAAACACTGGGATATGTTTTTTTGTGTTGATTCAGTTGATTCAGTTGATTCCTCATTGGGTCTTATCTTTCTCCATTGATCCACTTGCTTGAAAAGTTCCATGAGCCCTGTGGGCCCTGCTGTGGGCCCAGCCAAAAAAATGGACGGTGGCAGATCAAATTAAACGGCCGTTCACTCACAAACCGCAAGAAACTGACTGCAGCCTGTGCCATGACCAAGAAGCCATACTGGCTTGCCATGCTGCTTCCAGCACTTCTGCTGTTGCCATGTGGCAATTTGGATGCCAAAATGGGATTTTTTATGGCAAATGGCAAAGGTTTCTTATAGGAATGACACGTGGGACTGGTGCACTTCTGCAGCCAACTAGCCAGCCGCATGTGCTTGTACCAGTAGAAGCACCAGCAGTGTGTACACCTGGAGGCTGGAGACCGGAGACTTGGGAAATGTCAGGTGAAGTTGGCCTTGGCTCTGGACTCAAGCTACTTCCAGGGAAAAATACATAGAAATCATACATGATTCATCATATATATATATCATATATGATTCTCGTGATATTGACTGGCATCACGAATGACTGAGAGACATCTGGACAACATCTGCCACCTCTTACAGCTGTAAACCAGCGGAGATAACAATAAATAAAGATAGCTCGCTAGAGATCGCTCACTTCCTTGGCATGATTCTAAACAATTCCGCGCATTGAAGTCCTCAAGGCCGTGTTTTGGCAGTGTTTTTATTGTCTGGAGCTTACAACTATTCAACTATTCTATTGACCAAAGTCTGGAGTGCTTACGCACCTCCATGAAGCACGGTCCATGCATCCGCGCAAGAGCCCCAAGTGTTTTGGGGTGTTCAGTGATACTTGACAAAGTGTCGTGGGCTAAGTGTGTAGTTCGTGGGCCTCCCATGCGTGTCTCATTGCATCTATGTGTGGTAAAGGTACTAAACAGAACGAACGCGCGCTACAATTTGAAATCCGTCCAGTTGATAGTATCCCTCTTCTTGCAAGACTTCTCAAACTTCCAAGTTGTTGTTATCGCTGTTTACTTTGCATCAGTCCTGTTAATGAATCTCTGCAAACAGCATTAAACTTAACCAAAAGGACCTCCCTTCACTGCATCATGGTTTGATGAAAAAAGTGTAGACTTTCAAAAGGATCTCTGTGCCAATTGTGAAACGGTGCCTTCCATAGGCCCTGGTTTCAACCTAGAAACTACCCAACCAACTGAGCCATGAGCCATCAATGAGAGCAGCATTCAGCATTCAACTGGATTTCAGCTTTGTTGCACACTTGGAGGATTCGAAAGCTCGGATAAGGATTCCAAATTTACCACATGATTTCAAGACCCAAATGACCATGTTCCAAAGGTTTCATTCAAAACGCAACTTCAGAGTCTAAGATGCATGTCCTCTATACACATGAAGTACACATAAGTACACCATGCACAGACTACAAAATTGTCGGCGTATGTGACATGTGCAGAACCAACACGCCCGGGGTATTCTTTGAGCAGGTCTCATCAGTTAGATGGTCCAAATGCTCAGAACAGCCAGAAGGCTTGCCTCAGCTCTGATGCACTTAATTAAGCGTGTAAGTCGATAGTTGTGATACTTTCAAGTGTCTCCTGTGCTCGTTTTCTCTGCAGTTGACCAATGCTTCCTTCTTTGCGTCTTTGTTTCTTTCTTTCCCAAAGATATGGGCACTGTCAACCCGCATATGGAACCTTACTGGATTGCCAACTGGAACTCTCACCGCAGTATGTACATACGCAAGCATGTCCAAATCGTGGCCCTGGTTTGGCAGATGGTCAGCATGTTTGAAGTCTGCCAACTGGAGGGTTCTAACCCATCAAGCTTACTTCATTGAGACAAATATAGCTAGCTGATATAGCCCTTCAAGTGCAAACCTCGAGAAGAAAAGTAGCATAGGTCTTCACTGAACCTGCCCCCAGTCTTTAATCTTAGCCACGATTGAGGACTTGGAGGATGCGAAACTCCTGGCAATGGCAGCGATTGTGGACCTCCACAAGATCCACAAGTCAAAATCTTAGATCTTCGAAGGCTCAGGAGCATGGGAGTCAAAAATATCTTGCTACCAACCTGTGCAGCATGGGTAAGTCGTCCCAATTCAAACAGCCGTCCTGTGGTCAAACAGATCACTGCTCAGCTCAGTATGTGGGAAAACCACAAGCTCCTCTGGCAGGGCACATCGAACCACAATCGATTGATACCACAGGATACCACACGAATCATGACTGCATGGGGAGAAAGTTGAACAAATTGACTCACACACAAACGAGAGAAAGTTGCTAAGAGTAGAAATCAAAGCTTCTGCCCCTTTCGCACTTGGTATACCTTCCATGTAGCACAGTTGAATCATGTTGAATCAGTGAAGTTTCCAAACATGCCCCTTTCGTTTGAAGTTGCCATAAGCCGGCTTTTTAGTTACTGGTTGACCATGGGCGAATTGTGCGATTCGGATTTCCTGCTTGAACTCTTTCCCCTCGGAGGATTCATGAGCTTCTCCTCCCACGCGGAGGACCTTGGCGCCAGGTCAAGATCAACCGACTGCTGCTTGCCACTACCCATCACTACCCTTTCTTGGTCTGATGTAAGTTGGATCGTGACAGGTCTGGCTAAGGGTGTACTGAAGTAAGAAGCGGATTGACTAGAAGACCAAACTCAGAACAAGCCAGTTGAAACACAATTTGTTGCCAAGTTTCATCGAGAGTTGTCAATGCTTGCATCGATTCTGAAGGGTTGGACAATTTGTGATTGCACAATGGTCAAGGGTCGACCATTGCCTGCAAACATTCAGTTTCTGAGAGCCTTGGGTACCTGTTAAAAAAGCGTCACTGATAATATCTAGTAGGCTGCTCTCCTTTAAGGCTCACTGCTGTCATAGCAGTGAATTCAATCAGACTTTCTCAATTTTTGTAGGCCAAGCAGCAACATAGTTGGACAAGGCAGCGACAAGGCAGCAACTTCAAAGCCGACCTCATCCTGACCGGATAGTACAAAGGCAACACCTGCAACCTGTCTACAAACAAGCCACCACAGAACTGTAGTGTTTCTTGGAATTTACCAACGACATTTCACCAAGTTGGAACTGCAATTTCAATCAATTTCAGCGAACACTGAAAAAACACCCACAGAGTACACCATGCGACGCTGCGAACTAAGATTTGTCCTTGTTCTTCGAATCCTCGACCAGCCACAACTTGTAGTCTCCGGGGTTCACCTCAAGGTAGCATCGTCTGCAAATCGAATGACGCCTTAAATTCAACCCGAGGTCTGCAAACAAAATACCTGAGGAAAATAGAGGACATAAAAATACATAAAAGAGAAGAATTGTGCACCAGAATTCAGCCAAACAAGCTGAAACAAGCAAGCGATTCATCCTGTGGCTACATTTGACTGGTAGCTGGTAGCGGAGCTTGGCATCAAGGTCGCGGCTTTCACGATGCTATCGAAAGAAACCACCTCACCACCGCCTCGCCAATGCAGCATGATGAGAAACAGGCATCAACGCCCCTACACACCTTACAGCGCGACCAAATGGATGTAAGAAGAATCCCATGCATCCATCCGGTTTGATCTAAATTGATTAGAGTGGGATTTGAGTCTCATGTCATGTTCTGTCACCATATCAATAGAAGCCAAGACTTTGACGCATCCTCTGCATCCTCAAAGCACAACAAATTGTTCTACGATGTTCTACTACAACTTTGATGTTCTGCGACTCATTGCGACTCCAGTTTTCGCAGTTTGTTTCTGCCTGCATTCACCTCCCCAGCTCGGCCAACATGCAGTTCCGACTGTTCAGATTTGGCTGGCCCCTGGATCGCTGTCGCGTGCAGCAAGCTGCCATCCCCATCTTGGGGCTTCTAACGCTGAATGTGGTGAACAACTCAGCACAGCCAGAGGCGGTAAGTCGTGGCGGGGCTGCATCGTAGGTGTCCATGATAGCCTCAAACCAGCGGGATCTGTGTCGTGCGCCAGCTGTGCTCTGAATCTGTGCCCCTGGCCACTTGTGCAGTGCTGTTCTGCATTGGCACGAATGCATGAGACTGGAATTGGAGGTCCAAAGTATTCCGGCCCTGACCTCAGAAACGGCCAAGCAAAAAAGTCTTCAGGAAACCCTAGGCTTTTACCTCCAAATGGTTTCCTGCAGATTTCCTGAAAGTGATGCTGGAAAAACTGCCAACCAACTCCTTCAGCATCCAATGTCAACCAATATTAATCACCCTTACAAGGCGGCGAGTCAACCGGTTTCCTTGTTTGTAGCAGGGCTGTGACGGAAGCAGACCAGCAACAGCATTCCGTCCGCTTCTGCAGGGAGTTCCTCGGAAGCAAAACTGGGTCAAAATCGCATAGACTCCGACGGCTTAGAAAACACTTTGCTTTCACTGGAAATTGCCTCTATATACATCTAGGTACAATTGATAAGGGTATATCGGTATATACACGTGGGCACAATGTGCATCTGGAACAAAAATTCATCTGAAAATCAAAAAGGCGAATCAAGTAAGCAGTCGTGCAGTCAAGAAACGGAGATCTGAAAGGTGTTGCTAGGACCATTCTTCAAACCAATGTGGAGCTCTTCGCCAGCCTTTCTTCGAGGGCTGCCAACAAGCTTGAGCCCATGTGAAGTATACCGTCAAAAGATAAAAGATTCCAGGTAGGAAAATGACTTCAGAATGACTTCGTGAGAATTTCTTCAATTTGTACAAGCGGATGTCGTCACTGACGCGACACCGAGGCGTGGAGAGATGTGGAAGTGTCGGTGGCAAGTGCTACTGCTGCTACTGGAAGTAGTGTGTCTCTTTGGAACTGCTCTCAACGGCTCAACGCGTTTCATGGCGTTTCCTGTTTGGATATTCAGGCTGCTTGCTTTCGTTGCAACTTTTGGATGAGATCCACAGCTCAAAATTTCAGTTCTAGACATGTTCTTCAGGTCATAGAGTTTGCTTGTCAAAATTATATACTGTGTGGTGCGAAAAGTGAGGCCACTACCTAAAGCCCTATCAGATTGGTGCGTTCGATCCAGAACATGCATGCCAGTTTGATGCATCTGGGACAGTCGAATCGACACCACGGCAATCAACTAAAATTGCCAGCTCATGTGACTATCTCCACATTTCGTAAGATTTGAAATGAGGGCTTCAGTGTCGTGTCACAGGTGCATGGAACCTCTATGGTTTTTGCGAACTTGACATGTGACGTTGCCATGTCAAGTTGGTTTCTCGTCCCAAGAGTGCAAAGGCAAACCGGGACCTCAAGGGCTTGTGGGGCTTGTAAGTCTTTGCAGGTCTTGTAGGTCAACGGCCTCATCGATTCTTCGAGATTTCTTTTGGAATGCATTGCCAATCTTTTGCTCTCTGTCATTTGGGTTTGTCCAAAGAGACCCCGCTACCCCGGAAATTTGCTGGTTTCTCATGATTTTAGACGATTTTCCTCATTTGATTTGCCATTTCGGGGGGACATGTGATTTCAAACACACCCATCTGGACAGCTTGGGATCAAAATCTCGGCCCCGTGCTCGTCACTGGTCAGCACCATGTCGCGCCACGCCACCGACATGGGCTCATCTGATGGGAAGGCATGGCAAACCCTGAGCCTCAGCAAGGCCCATGGCAACACAACTTGCTGAGCCAAAGTCCTGACGGTTTTGATCAGTCTCGAGTTTTTTGAAGCCTTGAAGCATTGGATGCCACTGCGCCGCACAAAAAAAAAAATCCATTGAGAGGCCCCCTCCCTCATGTGGGGCAGATCAACTGGATTCAACACCAACCGGCCAACCGGGGCCGAAACATTCGCGTGGCTCCAGGTCTTGCTCGGACGCTCACCTTACAGGGTGCCGCTGCCATGCAAACCCAAATTCCACGCTTCAACGGCCTTCATTTGTCGTGTCTTCAAGGAGCTTCATGATTCATGACATATCACACCCTCTGGGTACAGCACCTGGTCCGTCACTCTTGAGGTCACCTCCTCAGCAACTCCAGAATTTTTGATTTTTGATGGCTGGGTCTTGCTCAGTATTCTCACAAATCGTGCAAACACAACCTTTGAAACTCTGCCAGCCACAATCAACTACATGGTCAAACAACACCTCAATTTCCACTCAATCTGACCTTCATGCCAAATACCTATATAACCCCTTGAAGCACCAAGCGGCCACCAGCGCAGTGTTGCCTCCGAAAATGTCTGCCTCGTAAGCTGTGAGTTCCTTTCTGAGTCCCGGCATTGGATAGAACGAGGATCGATGGTTGTTTCAATCTGATCTGGTTTACTTCACCTTGTTCGACCGATTCAACGAGATATCTGCTTGGTGTCATCTTCTCGCAGTGCCTCTGCCTCTGGGAATGTCATCAATTCCTGGCCAAATGCTGAGAACAACAACCAATCTGCGGTGTTGGTGACCTGATGCTCTTGAAGCCAGCAGGATGCAGAATCATGTTGTTTTGGTTCCAGAACCCGGTGATGTTCGAATGGCTGTGCTGCTTGCTGGACTGATCGGATTCTGAGAAGCAATGAGACTCCTATTAGGTTCTTCTTGGTAATTTATGGACAACAGATTTCACCCATAATAATATCGTTCCTCCCTTGAACCTGTGAAGTCTTTGCAAGATCGAACAGCAGCCTTTTGCCACTACAGTAGACGGTCTTAAACCAGTCGCACGTTGCGAAACTAAACCCGGCAAAGCCAGAACAAGAGAGCAAATTCGCGCATCATTTTGTTAATCAAGAATAATAATTTCAAAATCTAACTTTAGATTGCATATAAATCATATACATACATACCATACCCTTCCCTACCCTACCATACCATACAATACATTACGTACATTGCATACATTACAAACATACATTACATACATAATATATTATATCATACATTACATACATTACAAACACACATACATTACATACATTACACGCATTACAAACACACATTACATACACTACATACATTACATACATTACATAGATATAAAACATGCATTACACACATTACGTACATACATTACATACATTACATACATTACATACATTACATACATTACATACATTACATACATTACATACTGTACATACATTACATACATTACATACATTACTTACATTACAAACGCCCATTACATACATTGCATACATTACATATATTACGTACATTACATACATATAAAACACACCTTACATACATTACGTACATACATGACATACATGACATACATTACATTCATTACATACATACATTACATACATTGCATACATTACATACGTTACATACATTGCATACATGGCATACATTACATACATTTCATACATTACATGCATTACATACATGGCACACATTACATACATTACATACATCTCATACCTTCCTTACGTTACATACATAAATAATATACATTACATACACTACATACATTACATACATTACATACATTACATGCATTACATGCATTACTTGCATTACATACATAGCATGATCACATACATTACATACATACATTATCATACATACCATACATACCATACATACCAGCCAACCAAGATACATACATGCATGCATATATACATACAGACAGACATACATACAGACAAACATACATACATATACACATACAGATGGGTATATGCTTCAAGGAAGAAACTCGCTCTCTCTCTCTCTCTGTGGGTGTTGATGGTTCACAACAAGTCGTGAGGAATTGGAAGCTGCAATGACTTGTCAATTTAGATTTCAGGTTTGCTCTCTTCACCTCTTGCCTTGGGGAATGTCGGCTATCACACATGTTGGCACTTGCACGACCCATGTGTGCAGCTCATAAAATATCGCAACTTCAAGCACAGTACATACACAGATCAAAATATTGGAAATGCCAAACTAGTGCCCTACAACTGTGATGTTTTTTGTCACCCCTTCTTCAGGACTGCATAATTTGCTAGCCAAATTAAAAATGCTCTTCTGTCGTAGAGCCAAGTGTGTTTGTTTCTTTGCTCAATTGTTAATTACCTTGATGAATCCATCACGCGAACGAATACACATATTTATGCGGCTTGACCAACGCAGTTTCTTGACACTTGGATCAATCCAAAATTTCTCAAAATTAGCGATTGTAAGGAAGTCCAGGCTGGAATGGGTGCAATGCTCAATTGGACAAATATTTCTGCCGCTTCCATTGTCCAGGAGCGAGGCAGCTGGGAGTGCTGAGCCTTGGCTGCACCAGCAGAGCCTTCTTCTTAGGGCATACTCTGCAACTGGAAATCTGATCCAGACTGCTCGCCTGTGGATCCTGGGAAGAATCATCTGTTGACCACATCCGTTCGACTTTAAATTCACGGTCAAGTTTTGTCCAAAGGAGTCATAAAATATTCTTCGCCGCAGGTAAGAAAACAAGAACTGCATCATAAATTGGCATACGAGACTCCACTTCCTTTGTCAGTATGCCACAATACTGCTATACTGCAGTACTGCGAGCAGGCCAGAACATGTTTGAACACGTGTGTTGAGAACCGTATGTTACTGCAAAAGAATTCTAATATCAGCTTTTGTGAGTGTCCTGACCAGTGTGCTGGCAATGCCAAGTGAGAAATCCGCTGCCCAAAAAGAGCAGAACTCTCTGTGCCGAGGTGAGGAAGCTCGGAAAGAAAAAGCAACTACGAAGAGGTATCCTTCCAAGAGAGCAGATAGCTCGCCGATCACTTTGAGACCTGAGACAACCGCTCAGAGTCTACTGAATTTGTTGGGTCGGTGAGATCATGTGTCAAAACTGTTCACTCTTGCTGACACAGACATCAGAACATTGTACTGTCTTCTCAGGCACTACTGAAGCATCTCTGAATCATTCATATATACCAGTAGTACCGCACAAGGCGGTGGCGGAAGTTTCAAAAATAGGAAACCTATAGGAGAGGTTGGTTGATGTGAATCAGGGATGGCAGAGCGAAGCCACTGACGGACCGACAGGTGCTTGATCTCTCTCTCTCTCTCTACCTACCTACCTACCTATCTAGCTGTCTAGTTTTCTAGCTATTTGTCTGTCTATCTATCTATCTA